GTCCCGCCCTGCCCCGCCCCGCTGCGAGGGGGGGGTGTCGGCGGCGCTGCTTCATGTGGCGCCCCGCCATGGCCCGCTACAGCCTCGGCGCCGCGCTGGACTGGCTGTACGGCGGCGTGGACCCCAGCTTTGAGGGCAACGGCGGCCCCGAGTGCGCCGCCTTTCTGTCCGGCCGCCAGCGCCTGCTGGAGAGCCTGGTCTTCCTCAGCCTGGGCGTAGCGGAGGCGCTGCTGGCCCTGCGGAGGATTCGGCGCCTGCCCGGCAGGGAGGAGGAGGAAGAGCGGCTGCTGCAGCGGGCCCCGGTTCCGCACGAGAGCCTGGGCAAGAACCTGGTGCTGGCGGCCCTGGCTCTCACCTTCGGGGTGGAGGTGGGCTTCAAGTTCGCCACCAGGACCGTCATCTACCTGCTTAACCCCTGCCACGTGGTGACCATGATGCAGGTGAGGGCGTGGGGGGATGGTTGGGGGGGATGTGACTCTAAGACGACCTCCTCCCACGAGATTGTGCGCCCAGATCAGGGGGGTGCATGCATCGCTCTTCCACCTGTCGAATCTGCATCCCTGGCGCTTGTCTTAGCCCGGATTCGGGGGTTGGCATGGCTTGATCCCTGTAGAGAAGCAAACGAATCTAGCCATGTGATTGCGTAATGTTTTAGGGGAACGAAGCCCTCTGTGATTGCGCTGTCCATCCCTTCATTCCCTTTGCTGTACGGAGAGGCACCTAAGCAAATTGCCTGGAAGCTGTTTAGCGGCTCAGCTTCCAGAGCAAGTCTCCCTCGGAAAGCCTGCAACGCAAGGCAGAGTTTTCACTGCTTGTGCTGACGATTTGTCAAGGTGGACCTTAGGTCACTCTTGTGTCACACTGGGTCAGAGCGACCTGTTCCTCCCTCGCTCACAGCCTCTAGCACTTCAGGTCTAGGAAGTTGTGATTTGGCGGCTGTGCCCCTCGCCCCAACGCTCAGTGGTGACTGGTGCCCCTTGTCCTCCAAGAACATGTCCTGTCCTCCAGCTCTGAGCTTCTATCATCTCTGGTGGCAATGAGCGCCACACTGTGCGAAAAAAGTTTCCTTTGTGTTTGTTTTAAACTGACTACCTGCTCGTTTCATGTTGTGACCCCTAGTTTGGGGGCTGGACTCGATGATCTTCTGAGGTCCCTTCCAGCCCAAATGTCTATGAAATATGAAATCTTGTCTGGTGGGAGACTAGTCAATAATGAATTCCTATTTGCTTTCTTTTCACCATTTAGTATTTTACAAATACTTACTGAACAGGCTTTGCCGCTTTAGGCTGTCCTCATATGGAAGTCCCTCTGTCCCGTAAGGATTGTGAACTGCCCTGGGAAGTGGTCAGGTTTTGTGGGCCAGGTCCTGGGCCCCTCTTTCAGCCTGAAATATAAAGCAAGCAGCCAGCCAGTCCTTGCAGAAAGTCATCTGTGAGGATATGGATGGGAAAATCAGGTGAGAGACTGAGATGCTCTGTCCGAGGGAGGATGTTGTAACAGCAATCCCTTCAGGCATTAAAACATCTAGAATGGAAAAGATTGTGATCAAAAGATTAAAATAACTGGATGTGCATTTTACTCTTCTGTCTTTAGTTCTGACACGGGCATAACTTTTGGCATTTTGAGAAGTTGTCTTGATTGCACCGGGGCCACTTTGAATATATAAAGTCAAGTGTGTCTGTATGTTTCTGTGGGAAAAGAGCACTTGTTTCCATCTTAAATTTATTTAAGTGAGAAAATGAAAACAAATCAGGCACTTATTTCTTGGTTCTCATGCACCAAGCCTGCACTGATAGGGTTGCAAATGCACAGGGGATTTATTTGTGTCTTAACCACCCTCAAAACAAACAAACCAACAAACCTCAAAACAACCCTGTTCCCATTGGCTATTTGAAATGCTGAGGGAGTTCCCTCAGCATCCAGCTTTCTCCTTCTTTGTGACATGAAAAAGGATGGCTCTTCGGCAAGTATCAGGCATATGGCAGTTTATTAACATTTGATTCATATGCAAATACCTGCCTAATTAATTTCTGTATGAACTAGGTTTTCATGATCAATGAATTGCCATTTAATGAGAGAGGAAAAAATATGAAGCATGGCTGGAAAGAGGAAATTGTAGCTACATTTGAGCTGACCAAGTCCTCACTTACAAAAAGTGAAAAGTTCTACTGGTTGCTTTCAGTGACCTGGGAAATCCTGCTCTCATTGACGTCAGCAGCAGTTTACATTTACTTGAGTGGAAGGAGGCCTTTCAGAACTCGAATTATAGGGTTGGAACGGACCTTGAGGCTCCTTTCATTCAACCCCTACCAAAGGTAGTAACTTATCCGGCCACTTTAAGGAATCTTCAATAGTAGTTCTTATAAACTTTTTTCTGAGCATTCTCGTCCATTGTTCTACTTTCGCATCTCAGGAGAAATATCCTAGCTGTAATGTAAATCTGTTGCTTTTTTTTCTGCTTTCTGTGGCAATGGAGAATATTTTTTCCATTTTATTTATGGAACCTTTGAAATATTTGAAAACTACTGTCATGTCTCCCCTTAAACTCTCTCTTGTGCAAACTAAACACGCCCAGTTTCCTTCAGCCTTTCCTCATATGCCTTGCATTTCAACCCCCTGTATTATCTTCATTGCATATCCCCTGAAACCGCTCCAGTGTTTCACATATTTCTTAAGTGTGGTACCCCAAAGTGGGCACAGTAGTCTAGCTGGGTAGAATGGTACTGTTACATTTCCTGTGTAACACAATGTTTCTGTTAATGCAGCCCCAAATTGCTTTTACTTTCTTGTAACAGCTCTGTACAGCCAACTCTTGAGCTTGTGTTTCTGCTAGAACCCATTTTTGTTAGTCTTGTGGCCAGCACTTTGGATGTTCCTCATTCTCTGTTTATGCATTTATTTTTTTCTGTATCTGAATACCTCATGTCTGTCTTTTAATTTAATTTTGTGTGTAGTCTTCCTTGTAATCATGAATTCTCTCCAGTCATGATCCATTCCTCCCCAATTTTTGACAGCCTTCACTTTTGTGACTAGTTGATACTTTTGGCTTGAGCTCTCTAGTTGTTGCCTCAGCTTTCTGCAACAAATTGGTCCTTATCTTAAGGTCTTACAGATGTTTTATATTTTTGCTCTTCCCGTGGAGATCAGAGAAGTCTTACACAATTATTGCCCATTTAGATATTAACTACTTTATTTCCTCAAATATAAGACAAGGTTCCCCCCTCACCCCATTTAACATGTTGGGGGAAAAAGCCCCTCACACTGGAGCTGAGTGCAAGGTGGGTGGGATGGGGCAGGTGACTGCTGAACCTCTGACTCTAGCCCCAGTTTGGCTGCAGCTCTGACCCCAACCCTGGCACCACTGCCCCTTTTGCTGTCTTTGCTCCTCTTCCCCTACCACCCCACCTACTTCTGCCACTTCTTGGCTCTAGCTGGGTTCTGGCCTTGTTCCAACCCTGGAACGTGGAACACATGATTGCTCTGGGCTTAGCCTGGTCCAGTAGCTGTGGTGCCATTGAAAAAAGCTTAGGTCTGAGTTTCAACATTTGGAGCAGGGCTGGAGTTGTCACTGCTGCAAAAGCTGCTGTAGGGCTAGTCTAGGGCCAGGACAGCCATGTGCTTTGTGCCCCAAGCTAGAGAAGCCAGAGCTGGAAGATGAGGAGGGGTTGGGGGCAGAAGTAGCAGGAGGACCAGGTGCCAGGGGGTGCAGGCATGGAGCAGGGCAAGTGGTAGAGGACATGTGGGGGCAGGTGCTGGGGGGAAGCATGTACTGGAATACATGGGCACAAGGGGGTAGGCAGCAGGAAAGCAAGTGTGGGGGCAGGACAGCCCCACCAGGGGAGACACCTTGTTGGACCTGGTGCTGGCCACTGGCGACGACCTGGTGAGGGGGCTGCAGGTGCTCGACCACCTGGGCAACAGGGATCATTGCCTGCTGGAATTCACCATCCAGCGCAAGATGGCAAAGGCCTACAGCAAGGCAGCAGCCCTAGATTTCAGGAGGGTGGACTTCAATGAGCTAAGGAGAATAGTTGGGGAAGCACTGAAGTCCCGGAGGGGAGGGGAGCCAGGTGTCCAAGAAGAGTGGTCGCTCCTTAAGGAGACGATCCTCCAAGCCCAAAGGGAGGTAATCCCAACACGGATCAAAGGTAGCAGGAGGGCGCAAAAGCCCCCATGGCTCACCA